TATCTCTAAATTCTGACCACCACTGCAGTAATTCTAGATAGAATAGAGAAATATTCAGTGGAAGGATACTAACATCATAATCGCAATGAAACAAGAAAAGGCCGCCAAAGCGTTCTAGATGATGTGTCAGATACCTTTTCCAGGTGCCATCATTTGAGCTAGCTATTCTTTTTAGCCATGCCAATCGAAGCGATATTATCATGCTATCAAAATCAATCATCTTTAATCCTCCGTTGGAGTATTCATTTATCGCCGATCTGCGTGTGACTTTATCACGACCATTCCATAATAATTGAAATAATAACTGGTTTAACTGACTTACAAATTCTTTTGGGGTGGGTATTAAAGATGACACATAAACAAATTTCGGGATTAATAGAGATTTGATAAGTGTAATTTTGCCATAAATAGAAAGTCCTCTAGAGGACCAAATTCTAGTCAGGTTTTTAATACTGTCTAATCTTTCTATGAAATTCTTTTCAAGAAGCAATTTTTGATCATACGTGTAATAAATTCCTAAAGCCTTTATCGGTTCGTTAGGCCATTTAATTCCAAAAGGCTGTGCTTTGCAGTTCCTTGAAGAACCTATCAACATAGCTTCCGTTTTGGAACAATTAATCTTTAAGCCAGAGACAATCTTGAAATCATCTAACAGCCTAAAAAGAGCAGTAGCAGAGCTTGTGTCGGCAAGTATTGCTGTCGTATCATCTGCTTATTGAAGAATTTTTGTCTCCTCACTCCCAATAGAGATACCTTTGATATCTTTATTTTGTCGAATCGCAATTGCTAACGTTTCTATAGTAACTACAAAGAGGTAAGGAGAGAGCGGGTCCCCCTGCCGTACCCCACGTTCAAGATTAAAGTATTCAGATGAAAGTCTGTTGTTTATCACACAGCTTTGTATGTTTCTGTAGAACGTTTGAACCAAATGGATGAAATTAGGGCCAAAATTGAAGGATTTCAAACAATAGAGAAGAAATTCCCATTCTACGCTATCAAATGCCTTTTCAAAATCAATAAATATCATTAGTCCCGGAATACTTTCTTTTGCAGTGAAATCCATAATATCGAAAACTGATCTAATTGTTTCGCCGATATATCGGTCTTTCACGTATCCAGTTTGGTTATGGTGTATAATATTTGGAAGAACATTTTTAATTCTAGTGGCGATCACTTTAGACATAATTTTTGTGTCAACGTTTACGAGAGAGATTGGACGCCAGTTCTCAATATATGAACGAACTTTTCCTTTTTTTCTATTAGAGTAATTACCGCTTGTTTTTGAGAACAAGACATTTCACCTTTTTCAAAGCTTTCGTTCACGCATTTAAGAAAAGGATCGCTTATTAAAGGCCACAACACTTTTTGGAATTCTATAGGAATTCCGTCATTCCCGGGAGTTTTGTTGGTTTGAAAGCTTTCGAGGATATTGTAACATTCCTCAGCTGAAATTTTGCCTTCGCAGGTCAACTTTTGTTCTTCGGTTAATTAAGGTATATTCAAATTCTCTAGAAACTTTACAATGTTCTGACGGTTTTTCGCACCACTATTTGAACTTTTAAAAACTCTCGATAAAAACGTTTTTGTTCTTGAAGAATGTCATAGGGATCTGTCTTTACGACGCCGCTGATTACTAGTTTCCTTATATGCTTTTTTACATGATTTCTTTTTTCTAAGTTTAGGAAATATTTGGTACTTTTCTCGCCGTGTTCATGCCAACGTGCTCGGGCACGGATTATTATTCCGTTGACTTTTTCATCATAAAATGATTCGAGCTTATCCTTAGCCGCATTTAAATTGTTGCCATTCGAATCATTGGGGTTCGTTTCGAAAACCTGTTTCGCTTCAGTATATTCTTTTTCAAGTTTTGATCCTCTTTCGTTTCTCTCCTTTGCCTTCTTTTTGGAATATTTTATAGCATGAGCTCTTATGTTATATTTTATCCAGTCCAAGATGTTACGGTGGTCGGAAAGTTCTTTTCGGCCTTCCGTGATCCAAATTGGTACCATTTTTGTAAGGTCATCAATGTACTCATCATCCTCCAATATGGAGGTGTTCATCTTCCAGAACCCAGGACCCTTACCCTCCTTGTCCACGTTCCCAAATTCTAAATAGATAGCAGAATGGTCAGTTCTGATGGCGGGGATTATATTTGTGGCTTTGACCCAGTCATGTAAATTGTTAAAAATCAACCAATAATCAAGGCGACAAAATATCGGCGGAGATCGTTGACTCCAGGTAAAACTTTTAGTTTGCGGGTTTTTAACTCTCCATATATCTACAAGATCTAGTTGACTTTGGACATCGTTGATGAAATTTATCACTGATTTCCTAGGCGTCATTATGCCACCTTTTTTGTCCAATGTAGGATTCAGAGGACAATTGAAATCACCTCCAATCACAATATTTTCTTCTGAATCTAAATTTTCGGTCTGCAGCTTAGATAACACATTTTTGAGGAATTTAATGATGTCTTCGTCTTTGTTTGGTGCATAAATGTTTACAAGAACATACATTTTATCTTTGATAGCGGTTTAACAACGATATACCTCCCCGATGTATCTACAATTTGAGAGTGAATAACGCAATCAAGACCTTTTTTGATTAAGATTGCACCACCTCGAGAGTTTGAGCTCCCATGGGAGCAAATACGTTCTGCACCCCATTCGTTTTTCCATTTTAACTGTGTTGACAATATCGAATGAGTTTCTTGCAGGAATATTATATCCGAGTTTCGTTTTCGACACCACGTGAAAATTGTTCGCCTTTTTCTGAAATTGCTTAGTCCCCTCGCATTGAGAGATAGTAGATTAAGAGAATGATCGGTCATTAGAGCTGAATCGGGGAAGTGGTATTATAGAAGAAGTCATATAAAACGAAAATGAAATCGATGGTATAGCAGAGTGCAAGAAAATATAGTGCACATAAACGATAATATTCGCCCTAAAACAAATTATTAATCTACAGAAAAACATACAGTAACATATCAAGTAAGAAGTTTCCAGAGCACTCACATTTCTAATTAAACAAGGAGGGTTAAATAGTTTAACACTTATTACACACATAAACCTTAAACTAAACTTAACTATTGATGTGCTGTCACGCTGTGACCGTTTTGGCTTTAGTTTCCGCTGTTTCTTGTGTCCATAATGAGACCGTAGTATGGGAGATTGGTTGTTTCTTCACCTCTGTAGATTTGCCCGTTTATAATTAGCTTATCAACTTTGAAATAGGTTGTTTGCTTTCTCTGTTTGGCCTTTTCCAAGATGGGATATAACGTTTTCTGTATTTCATCAATTTCCCGGCGGAAATCATTCGCGATTGAAATGTTAGTGTTTTTCAAGTTTTTAACAAAAGACCAAACATACTCCTTATCTTGAAAGAAGCTAAATTTAGTTATAATAGGCCTAGGTTTGGAGTTCTGTCCTTGACTGGTATTCTTCTTAGGGCCTGTTTACATGGAGGTGGGGGACCCCAGGTAGGTGAGGTAACCCGCTTAGGTGAGGTAAAAAAATAACCCGCCTTTACATGCAATCTTACAACCCCGCCTTCCCGGGGTGCACTTTCTCAAGATTATTGAATGGTCGCTAAGCACGTAAACAAGAAAAATGCTGGCAAACCAGGAGTTTTGGCGATTAATGCACTTTTTCACTCACTTGTTGCTCTTGCTGCAACCCGTCAGTGCAATAGCTTTCTATTGTTAACTTTAATCATAATGCAAAGACACCGCGAAAGTGAATTTTGCGCGAATTTGATATATCACGAATCCGACCCCGGCCAGGCGGGTTACCCCACCTTGAAACGTTTACATGACAAATTGTGACCCCGGCTGAGAGGGTAACCCGGTCTGGTAGACCGGGCTACCCGCCTTGGCGGGTCACCCCACCTATCATGTAAACGTGATCAAATGAAAATGAGAGATTATATGGACAGGCGGGTTACCCCACCTAAGCGGGTTACCTCACCTACCTGGGGTCCCCCACCTCCATGTAAACAGGCCCTTAGTAGGGATGCGGTGAACGCGTTCGAAACGGATCTGTTCGATATCTTCCTCTGGGATCTTAAGTTTATCGCGCATCACTTTTTTCAATTGATCTTCAGCAGAAGTTGACTCACCTCTTCCTTCTGGAATATTAAACACTTTTAGATTTTCACGTCTTGTGTATGCTTCTAACTTGATGTTGCGGCACTCAAGATGTTTTATTTTAGCACTGAGGTCTTCCAGATTCTTTGCGTGGGTTTCCAGTGCTGCACACGTGGCGGTTGAAGACGAATTTAGGTCGTCGATGGCTGCTTGAGCGGTGTTCAGGCTTTCTTGTAAACTTTTATTTTCTTTTTCCAATTCTGCCACTCTATCTTGCATAGCCTCTAACTCGCCGAGTCTTGTTAGCACTTTGTCGAGCTTTTCACTGACTTCATCTAGTTTGGCAAAAGCCCCACGACAATGGCCGTCGGCTTCGTCGAACACATCTTCCCCGTCAGTCTGTGAGCCGCTTTCCCTTAACCGTCTACGACTATCGGCTCGGGCGTCTTCTTTTCCCATGTTATTTAAGCGAATGAAAGCCAAGCAGCCTTCGTATTATTAACGTAACCTTCAGGTATGTTTAGTACCCACAAGGTTACAGAGAGCAAATGCAGTGATTATTATTAAATGTAACCGTCAGGTATATTCTACCCACGAGGTTACGGAGAGCAAATGCAGTGATATTATTAATGTAACCATCAGGTAGGTTCTACCCACGAGGTTACAGAGAGCAAATGTAGTGATTATTATTAAATGTAACCATCAGGTATGTTCTGCCCACGAGGTTAAAAAGAGAAAATGCAATGATTATTATTAACGTGACCTTCAGGTATGTTCTACCCACGAGGTTACAGAAAGCAAATGCAGTGATTATTATTAATGTAACCATCAGGAATGTTCTACCCACGAGGTTACAGAGAGCAGGCAAATGCAGTAACAATTATTAGATTTTAGTGCAACTATCAGGTTGAGTTCCTCCATTAAAAGAGTTTTTTGCTAGGGTTAAACAAGTTTGGCTTTCATGAGTTTCAAGGTGCAAGAAATTATCAGTATAATTATAGCACACAAACATTGTCATCTAATTTTTCGCACGTATCCGGAATAAGCCAAGAAATGAAGCATATACAACGAAAAATCGTCCTCAGATCATCTCCATATTAAGTAAATTATACTAAACGTTGCGAAAGAAATTATTGTTTGTATCCGTCTTATCCATCGTAAAAGCGAGGGGTCATCGCATAAAATCCGGTATATTAAACAGAGGTTACTCACGGGTTTCACGAGTTGTATGCACTATTTTTCGCCGTGAAACAAATTTAAACTTCAATTCTTACCTTACAGTAGTCCGTTCTTTTACCTTGCATTCGACAACAAATCTGTTAAAGGCGAACAAAGCGATTCCGGCACTCTTCTTTATGATGAGTAGCAAGCCGCAGGAACTGAAGCCGCTTGACTGAAGTAAAATCCACCGATATGCACGGCATTCTCACTACAAATATAAACAAACGTCGCGGGGAAAAAAGACGAGGAGGAAAAAATGCCAGATCTTCGCCTCGGCTATGTATTCCAGCTACCATGCCGGCGTATCTCCAGAAAGTGGACTCGAAGTGGGACAAACCTTGTGATTTTTTTTTAGAAGCCCTTTGCGCGCAAACTAATTTATTCTGGCGCGAAATGAAGATAAACAATATGTATACTGAAATCTAATCCACGACAAGAAGATTTTCGCACTGTAACGCGACATATTAAATGCCTATATTTACAAGTACGCGGAGAAAGTGGTCCACTAGTTTAACTTTTTTAAGACGAATTTACTCCACAAAAGCAAAATGAAATGTTTTATCTCTATGTTGTTTACGTGCCTGATTAGAAGGCAGAAGAAAATTCATCATACAGACCCCATCAAAATGAAAGTACACGAATGAAACGGAATAAGTCTGGGACTTCTTTGCTTTTATAACAATTATTTAATGTTGCAGTCTGTTTTAAACGTTGGCATATCAACGCGCACAGTCACTGAATGAAAACAACAGTCACGATCACGTTCTTTGAAGCCGACCAGACGCGCGCGACCTACCGCTGTTATGGTAAGCAATTATCCAGAAGGTGTTAATGTTCCCGTGACAGTCTTCGCACTGAAGGTGTAAATGGTCAGAAAGACCTGTCAACTTTGATGATTTAACTGATTAAATTACGGGATAGAAATTTTACTGCTTGCGGCTCCTCGTGAAGATCGTTGAATACCGAATAGCTAAGAAATGTCACGATTTTCATCATTGTTGTAGTTGGTTGCATCATCATTATTCACGAGGTTGTCACGTGCGATTCTACTTTAAAATGAAGCAGTCTTTAACTCTGACGACTTGATTCTAAAAGTGTTATAAGCCTTAACTGAAGGCACTAGTTAAAAAGCTAAAGAGGACTTCATTTGTTCAAGTTGCTATTAACACTATTATTACAGTTTGCACGAGAAATTGTTGTACTTTACCCCTTTCGTGGTTCTTTGGTGAGAGAATTCTAGATATCACACAGTAATCCAGTAAACAGGATTATAAAAATAACTCATGGACGCAATTTGCACGTGAAGATGTTGGACTTTGTCCCTTTTACAACTCGAATTGTTTACTAGAAAATATGCTCAAACGATTTTAAGAAAACACCTCGGCTTTACAACATCTGCAATTAAATTATGCTTCAAGCAGTGTTAAGGTTAACAGCCTAACATTTATTTACTTCCCCCAAAATTATCAAACTGCCGAAATATATTTCGACTCATATCATGTTATCAGTCTACCCAATAAAACAATATCTAATTATTTTTCAACTAGCTTGTTCCAATTTTTATTCCCTAACGCTATTGTTTCTACTTACGTTACGCATCTTTACTAAATAAAATACATTTCAATAACTGTAATGACTCTTAGGCTTCGTGCAAACGGACGCAACAACTCCCAACATTGTTGCGCCAACAATGTTGGGAGTTGTTGCGTGCGTGTTGGCAGTGGTGTGCAAACGGATGCAACGACTCCCAACAATGTTGAGACCTGCAGTGCATCGTGGGAAGGATACAACCCATAAATCTTTGTAAACCATGCGTAATGAGAGTGCGTGGCCCCAACAATGTTGGAAGAGCTGTGCAAACGGATCCAACATTGTTACGCTACGCTTCGGCGATCACGGAACAAAAGAAATGTTGGGAGTTGTTGGCTGAAAAGTCTGACCGGTGTCAAACTTTGCGCAACAACACGCAACAACATCTAACAACATGCAACAGGGTGTACAAACGGACGCAACAGGTAACATGCAACATTGTTGGGAGTTGTTGGCCAACAATGTTCCGTCCGTTTGCACGGGGCTTTAAGCAGCAAGCACGTATCATGTTGTTCACTTAATTCATGTTTTTTTTAGCGCGGAACGTAGAAGGTCTGTTGAACTTTGTCAGCCAGAGAGTAAAAGCTTGTTTACAGGATTAACTTCCTCGGTACAGCTTTCAAAAAAAAAATAAGCTGCCTTTCAAACTTCTAAAACAACAGTTTATAGGCCGCACACATGTACTTCCGAATTAAAGTCCATATCTAAATATCAGTTATTGTTTCATTGGAAGAACTTTGAAAAATATATGATCTTTTATACTCTACCTTGAACCAGGTGAAACAGAACTCATAAATTGTGAAATACGTGCGTTGTACCGTTCGCGATAGCCGAATTAGGTCAGAAATGTCTTGAAGCAGCACCCACATGCACGAAAATACTGGAACCCTTAAACCGAACTGCATCACTGTACTCAGTGTTTTAATCATGAAGATATTTAAATGTTACGCTTCTAAACACCTTTAGCCGTAATAAAATTCGAAAAAATTGTGGAGAATCAAGATGGCGATCTCAAAGTGCTCTTGTTTGACCTTAAGAAATGTCATGTTTAAATGCCAAAATCTCATTGGTTCCTAGCATCAACTCATTGTATCTTCAACCTTACTGGTCCCTGCAACACACATCCGAACACACAAAGCCACAAAGCCAAAAAGATACATACGCTCAGACCACTGACATATGAGCTATTTTGTCAAAAAAGTTCAATAATGGTATGTGTATGTGTAGTTGACCATTATCACATAAGAGTAGAGATTCACCAGATGGCGCAAACTCAAAAGAGGGTAAATAAAATACACGCAGTGGAAATTCAACGCTTAACGACAGACGCCTGCATACACATGAAAAGGACCCATTACCTTCCTCTGACCACACCACTTAGTGCTTTTAACCTCTTGGGCATCATTTTAACTCGGACGATTCCAACATCTGATCGCACAAGGGGATGTTCGATTCACCTTACCCAAAATATTGGCATCATCTCGAACGCATCCTCACAAGGCGAGCTATCCTATCGTATATCAAGCTTACACGTAGCGTTCACAGCGCAGAAGGTGACACTGACCATTCCCTGGTGTAGAGCAAAGTGAAACTACAGGCACAGAGAATCTACCACACAAAGACTGTGTGCAAACCATGCCTTGGCGTCAGCAAGACTCGCGATGCACAGAAAGTGGAGGAGTTCATAACTACGCTTGAGAAATCTCTCCCCCAGCCTCTCTTCGGGAAAAGTCCAAGAAAGATTGGATTACTTCAGGGATGCAGTCAATGGATCATCCATGCCCAACTTCGGCCAGAAGAAATACAAATCTGCAGACTGTTAGAGCCTTAGAGGCGCATATAGAGACAATCCAGCAATAGAAGAAAAGAGAAAAGTGTTAACTGGATAAAATACCTGCTCAAGTGAACAAAATCTACAGGCTCTACAGGCAGCACGTAATAATGTGCAACGATGCTGTGAAAATGAATACTAGCCTGAACTCTCTGCCAGTATTCATTCTGCTGTTGAGACAGCTATTATCAAGGCATATGTACGATGAAATGAAGCAGGCACTTGGTCCTTATCAGAAAAAAACAGCCCCCTTAAATTTTGCTACAGGCGAGATAATTCAGGACCGAACGCAACAGATGGAGCGCTGGGTAGAACAAGATTACTCTGAGTTGTCTCCCAGAGAAAATATGGTGTCTTTGGAAGCACTGAACGCCATAGATTGCTTACCTGTTCTGGAGGACCTGGAGAGTGAACCTACTAGAGTGGAGCTGAAAGAGGCCCTGGGGTACCTGCACCTTGAAAAGTGCGCGGCCAGGATGGTAATACTCTGCCTGTGGTAGAGGGAGGGAAGGTACCACAATGATGAGAGACGCGAACATAGACGGTCATTCTATACTGAATCAAGGGGGCCAGAACAGCCTGCAACAATTATCAAGGCATCTCACTCCTCAGTATCGCTATAAAGCTCTTTGCTCGAGTCGAGTGCTCGCAGGGAGATTTTATCCTGAGTCATCGTGTGGTTTCCCTGCTAAACGATCAATACTATTAGGTCTAATAGCTTGTCCAGCCCGGCAATCAATTCGGTCAGTTTGGCAAAGGCTTCGCCGCAATGGCCACAAGCATTACCTTCAGTTAAACCATCTTTGTGGAAGCCACTTCTTGCTGACCTAGTTTTTTTCCTTTTTCGAGCAAAGCAGAGCCATTTAAGCTTACGTAATCATATCACTTGAACAATGTAACTTGCAATCCGTTGTCGATCGACGCGCTCTTCACATCCCGATGGCCTTCAATGAAGGCTCAGCCGTTTTTGCTTCAAACTATTTAAACGGGTAGTTCAAGGGGAATAATTTTTTAACAACTTGACTTACAACTGACTTTGTGCTGAGACGGCCTTCCAAATGGGTTATCCCAGATAATAACTATCATTACTGACGGTGGAGTAAAGAAACATTTGATTTAAGCTGCTTCGGAATTAAGCTAAGTGTTACGATTGATCACTAAAGAACCCAGATGGATATGTATTCAATAAAATGTATGTATGTGTCTATGTATGCATGAAATATTATTATTATTTTCATTTTATTCGCCCAATATTGTAAAAACTAATATAATGTACATCTGGTATTTGTAGCTATACATAAGCAGGAGAACTCAGCAAGCTCTGCTGAGCCTTTCAGAGGAGATTCCCAACTTTACTTATCAATTAAATTACTAACATATTGTTTGCCACTTAATATTACAATATAAACTCTATCGAATTTTTAATGAAATGATGCAAGCTTATCAATGTTAGGAATTTTAATGTACTGTCACATGCCTTTCAACCTTTTAGACGTTCTTTCAATTCTTCCAATATAGTTGTTCCTAACTTAAAATTCTACAAGAGAAACCACCTTTTTCAAAAATGCAAAGAAACCTAAAAACTAAAAGATTTCTTGTAAGTACAAGACTGCATGCAGATACATGTTCTATAGACTTAGATTTCAACAAACAGAACTCATGATCATTTACTTCAACAAGTTAACTGCTTTTAAATGTAAGTAGCTTTATTTTGACGATCCGGGTAACCGAAATCCTTCGTAACTTTGTATTCCTGGGTAAGTCCATTTAACCGAAACAGAATGTTTCGTGGAATCACAGCTACGATAGCATCAGCTTAATTTACAATTTTAAATGACACCTGACCAGACCACAGAGTCGTTACGTATAAGAAAAAGCTTTACATTTTGAAGAAAACCTTATTGTTTTCGTAGCTATTTCTTAAGCCAAAAGCTTATTATTATTAACGTTTCTAACTGGCTTCCTTATTTTTTTTATTTAAGATTAACTCTATTTCCGTAGAACTATTTGCTAATTATTCTGGTCTTGTTTTTTTACCTGTTTATGTTTCAGAAAAGACCAAAATGGGCAATGTTCAAGAAGCTATTCACCATGGCATAATTGCCGCCGATTTTCTTTGGACCACTAAACGAGTTGTCCAGGCTATCGAGCTGTGGAACGAGTGCTTAACACTACTAAACAACAAAATCTTAGAAAATGAACATGAACTTCCCACAATAGTGCGTATAGCGCTGAACAAGAGGCTGTTTTATGGAAATGCTGCTATTACGAAACTTTCACCCGCTATAGAATCTGGCAAAAAGCTTTTAGTCCTACTTCGTAATCTTAGGAGAAAAAAAAAAGAAGGTAACACAGCCTTGATGTTATCAAAACTGTACTTCCAAAAAAGTGAATACCAGGAAGCACAAACAGTCCTCAAAATTGCACTCTGCGTTTACAAAGAAATCGAAGACAAAGACGGAGAAGCGACATGCTACGGAAACCTAGGAGCTGTGTTTGAATCTGTCGGAGAATATGCCAAGGCTGAAGAATATCTTCATAAAGCACTTACCATCAACACAGAAATTGGCGACAGAAACGGAGAAGCGACATGCTACGGAAACCTAGGAAATGTGTTTCAATCTGTCAGAGAATATGCCAAGGCTGAAAAATATCTTCATAAAGCACTTACCATCAACACAGAAATTGGCGACAGAAACGGAGAAGCGAGATGCTACGGAAACCTCGGAACTGTGTTTCAATCTGTCGGAGAATATCGCAAGGCTGAAGAATATCTTCATAAAGCACTTACCATCAACACAAAAATTGGCAACAGAAACGGAGAAGCAACATGCTACGGAAACCTAGGAAATGTGTTTGAATCTGTCGGAGAATATGCCAAGGCTGAAGAATATCTTCATAAAGCACTTACCATCACGACAGAAATTGGCGACAGAAACGGAGAAGCGACATGCTACGGAAACCTAGGAAATGTGTTTCAATCTGTCGGAGAATATGCCAAGGCTGAAGAATATCTTCATAAAGCACTTACCATCAACACAGAAATTGGCGACAGAAACGGAGAAGCAACATGCTACGGAAACCTAGGAAATGTGTTTCAATCTGTCGGAGAATATGCCAAGGCTGAAGAATATCTTCATAAAGCACTTACCATCACGACAGAAATTGGTGACAGAAACGGAGAAGCGACATGCTACGCAAACCTAGGAAAGGTGTTTCTTTCTGTCGGAGAATATGCCAAGGCTGAAGAATATCTTCATAAAGCACTTACCATCAACACAGAAATTGGCGACAGAAACGTAGAAGCGACATGCTACGTAAACCTAGGAGCTGTGTTTAAATCGGTCGGAGAATATGCCAAGGCTGAAGAATATCTTCATAAAGCACTTACCATCGACACAGAAATTGGCAACAGAAAGGGAGAAGCGACATGCTACGTAAACCTAGGAAGTGTGTTTGAATCTGTCGGAGAATATGCCAAGGCTGAAGAATATCTTAATAAAGCACTTACCATCAACACAGAAATTGGCGACAGAGACGGAGAAGCGACATGCTACGGAAACCTAGGAGATGTGTTTCAATCTGTCGGAGAATATGCCAAGGCTGAAGAATATCTTCATAAAGCACTTACCATCAACACAGAAATTGGCGACAGAAACGGAGAAGCGACCTGCTACGGAAACCTAGGAAATGTGTTTCAATCTGTCGGAGAATATGCCAAGGCTGAAGAATATCTTCATAAAGCACTTACCATCACGACAGAAATTGGCAACAGAAACGGAGAAGCGGCATGCTACGGAATCCTAGGAAATGTGTTTCTATCTGTCGGAGAATATGCCAAGGCTGAAGAATATCTTCATAAAGCACTTACCATCAAGACAGAAATTGGCGACAGAAACGGAAAAGCGAGATGCTACGCAAACCTAGGAGCTATGTTTCAATCTGTCGGAGAATATGCCAAGGCTGAAGAATATCTTCATAAAGCACTTACCATCAACACAGAAATTGGCGACAGAAGCGGGAAGCGACATGCTACGTAATCCTAGGAAAGGTGTTTGAATCTGTCGGAGAATATGCCAAGGCTGAAGAATATCTTCATAAAGCACTTACCATCAACACAGAAATTGGCGACAGAAACGGAGAAGCGACATGCTACGGAAACCTAGGAGCTGTGTTTCTCTCTGTCGGAGAATATGCCAAGGCTGAAGAATATCTTCATAAAGCACATACCATCAACACAGAAATTGGCCGAGGACAGGGAGAAGCGACATGCTACGTAAACCTAGGAAATGTGTTTGAATCTGTCGGAGAATATGCCAAGGCTGAAGAATATCTTCATAAAGCACTTACCATCAACACAGAAATTGGCGACAGAAACGGAGAAGCGACATGCTACGGAAACCTAGGAGCTGTGTTTCTCTCTGTCGGAGAATATGCCAAGGCTGAAGAATATCTTCATAAAGCACATACCATCAACACAGAAATTGGCGACAGAAGCGGAGAAGCGGCATGCTACGTAAACCTAGGAGCTATGTTTCAATATGTCGGAGAATATGCCAAGGCTGAAGAATATCTTCATAAAGCACTTACCATCAACACAGAAATTGGCGACAGAAGCGGAGAAGCGACATGCTACGGAAACCTAGGAGCTGTGTTTCAATCTGTCGGAGAATATGCCAAGGCTGAAGAATATCTTCATAAAGCACTTACCATCAAGGCAGAAATTGGCAACAGAAAGGGAGAAGCGACATGCTACGCAAACCTTGGAAATGTGTTTGAATCTGTCGGAGAATATGCCAAGGCTAAAGAATATCTTCATAAAGCACTTACCATCAACACAGAAATTGGCAACAGAAAGGGAGAAGCGACATGCTACGTAAACCTAGGAAGTGTGTTTGAATCTGTCGGAGAATATGCCAAGGCTGAAGAATATCTTAATAAAGCACTTACCATCAACACAGAAATTGGCGACAGAGACGGAGAAGCGACATGCTACGGAAACCTAGGAGATGTGTTTCAATCTGTCGGAGAATATGCCAAGGCTGAAGAATATCTTCATAAAGCACTTACCATCAACACAGAAATTGGCGACAGAAACGGAGAAGCGACCTGCTACGGAAACCTAGGAAATGTGTATCAATCTGTCGGAGAATATGCCAAGGCTGAAGAATATCTTCATAAAGCACTTACCATCACGACAGAAATTGGCAACAGAAACGGAGAAGCGGCATGCTACGGAATCCTAGGAAATGTGTTTCTATCTGTCGGAGAATATGCCAAGGCTGAAGAATATCTTCATAAAGCACTTACCATCAAGACAGAAATTGGCGACAGAAACGGAAAAGCGAGATGCTACGCAAACCTAGGAGCTATGTTTCAATCTGTCGGAGAATATGCCAAGGCTGAAGAATATCTTCATAAAGCACTTACCATCAACACAGAAATTGGCGACAGAAGCGGGGAAGCGACATGCTACGTAATCCTAGGAAAGGTGTTTGAA